TAATAATAAACTCATCCCCCATTTCATAGTCACTGTATATGCTAACCATTTTTATAATCTAGACAGGATTTAAGCAACTTCCAAAAAATATTCTTATAAGATAGGATGTTATATATACCGTATATACTCGCGTATCATGCGATTTTTGAATGCCTGATTTTGAAGCTAATTTTAAGGAGGTCGCATCATACACGAGATATAAATTTAGCGTATGTACTGTTGGCCCTGGTTACGCCATTGACCAAACTATATATACATTTTCTGTAATCAAATTAGCTTAAAAATTATGTCTTCAAAGGTCGCACGATACGCGTGTATATAAGGTACATACACACTAAAATTAGAATGACTCACAAAATACTATTTACTAATATTAGTAATATTAGCCATTTGCTTATAAGGAAACATTCGGCATTCATTAGCTGAGCAGCCAGTACTGCCTTTTGTTTAAATTTATAAAATATTTCTCTTAAAACAATTTTTCGGGAAAATAGTTTTCTCGGGTCCAGTAGCTGTTATCGCTCTTTCAAGTATTGAACCTTTTATTTGAAGTAGTGTGGAATGTCAACATCTTGATTATGTCATTGTTTTCTCTTCGATCAATTTTAGCTGTTATCGCTGTTGAAAGTCCAAACTCTTTGAGGACCGAACGCAGTAGTGATTTTCCAAGCGTAGCTCAGATATGGCACAAGGCTGAAAGTATGAGGCACCCAGTAAGGAACGAACGCAGTAGTAATGGCTCCGATTTCGAATCACTGTAGTAAAGCGATAAGGAAATGTACCTAATTTTTTTTTTATATATACCGTGTCCTTTCAGGAAGTTGGCGATTATGACTCTCCACGGATTTGTTTTCTTTATTATCTGTGAATCGCCTTTTTCGGAAAGATAGAGGACTATTTTCCCTTTGCTTTCTCCATGGTCTTGCATGTAAATTAATTGTTCTTCTTGAATAGATGCCACCCAAAGTTAGAGAAAGAAGCAGTTATACGCTACTATTTAACCCATAACTAGATAAGAAGGGGAGGAATGGATCTGAACCCTTTTCAAGTGCATTAGTACGAAGATAACATAGCTGGAACTTGTACTCAGTTGCGGAGTTCATTTTTCAACGCTGATAACCGCTATACTATCTGAAAGTCCTTAAAATAGCATGTAATAGTATTCAGTGTAGCATTACTCTGTTCCCTTAGAAACTGGGTAAATATAATGGCTGCATTTTTTTTCTCTTTATTTTTTAAAAATATTTCTTTGAAGTTGTCAGGTATTGGGGTAGAACGAGTTAATGGAGAGTTGTAACCCTGTAAGAGAACTTGTAATCCTTCCTGCAATAAAGTTTCCCCGTCGGTAATGTGTTTTTCGTATTCAGTAATGGCTGAAAGTGGGGAAAAGAACGCAAAGTGCTGAACTTTAAAATTCCATGAAAAAAAATGACAGAAATTGAAAAGACAGTACTATTTTTAATCACTCAGCACGACCAGACACTAAACACGTAGTCAGAAATAGCATTAAAAAAAAAGAAAGAAGATGCGTACACACCACATGCATGCAGATACCTTCTTCCAATTCTGTAGAAACTAACAAGAAGAGCGTTGATATTTGTTTGTTTTACTTACGCGTTGCATTCAGATAAAAGAATTTAGATTGAAACGAGAGAAAAAAAATTAAACTTGCGATCTTTCAAGATAACATAAACACGATAACGTAAACTAGGCAGCCGTAAAATTGAATAGTAATTAAAATGAAAGCACCAACTGTAGAGCAAAGATTATCAAGATAATCATATAAGCGATTGTTAGTAAAACTGGTTTAATTACTACTATTTATCGCACAATTACGATTTTTTACCAGATTAAACTAAAATTTAAAATTCTGCTCTTGAGAAAAAAAAAAAAAAAATGCGGAACCTGTCCCAACTTGATTATATACGACGGGATGAATAATTTAGAAATTCTGAGTTTTGAAAATCGGCCAAAAATATAACTAGAATCCAATCTAAAAACAATTTTTTCGATGGGATTATATATATATATATATATATATATAGGATTTATCAAAAATACTTTTACAATCTTTGGGGGCGGGTTCCTCATACGAAAACAAGGACAAAAGTCCATATAAACATAACATTTCCAAGGATATTTACGCGTAAATAAATTTAACGAACACGATTGGAACTCTACTCCCAGATTTCTAAGTCATTATCCATTACATCAGCCACACATCCAATCTTACAGCCCCTTAGGAACAGACTCCCGCTTGGGTGTTTCCCTGAACACTTCAATCTTGATTTGTTCAAGTCAAAGTTCAAGCGTCGTCATTTCTTCTTATCATAATAATCTTCATTTCAGATCACCTTCTTTTCCTTTCTCATCACACATGCCTTGCTTTAGGTGAAAATCACTTCGAAAGATTTTGGATCATTTCAGAATTTTGCATTTGGAGAAAACGGTTTCTTGTAATTAAACTAAAAGAACTCCTACAAAAGGTAGTGAAGGAAAGTGAGCAGAAAGGACAAACATTAATTGCAAGAAGACAGAATGAAAGGTTGTTGGCAAAAAGGGACGGCCCAAAATACAAATAAAAAAGATGAGATACCAAAAACCAAGCAAGTACGATAATTTAAATATCTGGGAAGTGTTTTAGCAGAGGACGAAAAGTGTGATACCGAAATCCGAAGGCGCATTGGGATAGCGAAAGATGCCTTCCAAAAGCTAAGCAGAGTATTAAGAAAATTTTCGTTAGAAACAAAGAAAAGAGTGATGGACTGTTACGTAATATCAGCCCTCTTTTACGGCAGAAAATACTGGACAATCACCTCACAGATAAAAAGGAGACTTGAAGCAACAGAAATGTGGTTCTACAGAAGGATGTTGATGATACCATGGAGTGAAGATATAAGCAACAAATTTTAGAGAAAAAGGAAATATATACTTAATATCAGGAAGAAGCAGTTGAAATTTCTGCGGCATGTAATGAGGAAGGGGGGCTTGGAAAATTTGATACTCACAGAACAGATTGGAGACAAGAAGTACATAGGAAAACAACATCTAAACTCCATAACGAGCTTGTGTAAATAGATGGTAGAACAGCGTCTGGGAGTGATAAAAAGAAAACGAAATTTATTAAAAACTACACAGAACAGGAAGTTGTGGAGAGCCATGACCGTCAACGTCCTGAAGGGATACGCCACATAGAAGAAACCAACTGCATCGACCTTTTATCTTCTCGAGCAACTCTACAGGAAGTAATGGCTAACAAGCCAGCCTACCTGCTCATTCTTCTTCTATGTATCGTGTTTGTTCGTGACGTGGGCGGTCATGGCTTCTGCACAACTTCCTTTGTAGCTCCTTGAACGTTTCTCTTTTTACTGTCTCTCCTAATTACTGTTTTACCAACCATTTATACAAGCTCGTTATGTAAGCACAGTAAATGACGACATTTATAAAGTAAACCTTAGCTTTATCTGTACTTTTACTAATCCCTAATCAGCAGGAGTCGAATGTTAAATGATTTTTAATATGCATACTTACAATTTAGAGAAATGTTTTTTTTAACAATGTATTGAATTTTTCATGATAAAGATAAACATTATAGATTTATAGTGTTTAAGAGAACACTAGATCAATATAATGAAAGGCATGAAATAAATCGACCTTTTATTCTCATATAAAATGGATTTTTTTACGGTTTATCAACCTTTTGTATGTTATTTAAAGCCGACACATATTTTGGATTGTAGGCGGTTGCTTACAGTACCTGGTGTTGCCTAGCGGCCCCCCATCTAAGTATTGACCGAACTCGACGTTGCCTAACTTCAGTGATCGAACGAGAACTGCTGTTTTCAGCAGGTTTTAATTGTAGGCATATAAAATAGGAAAATATTAAGAAAATGACTATAAAGCAATTGATAATCTGTTTATTTCCTCGTTCCAACCTCACGGTTTCCTTTGCATCTTTGTTATAAATGCTAGGTAATGTTTAACAGACACACAAACCGGATCATTATTATCGGAGTGAGCACGAAATGTGCACGAAGTGAGACACGATTAAATCATCAATATAAACTTGCAAATCGAACTGGAAATTTATTAACTTATTAAATTTATTAGATCATTTACATTATTCGGACTGTTGTCTTCATCTTTGTCGCAATATTTATTACAACGTTTCGGCCGTTGTACGCTCCGGCCTTCTTCAGGTGGTTGGAATGTCGAACTGAACCCTTTATTTCACTCACTGGAGTAGACTGTTCTAGTTCCACGTGCTATGTTTAATGGATGTCAGTTATCAGTTATCTCCTGTTAATTTCCCTCTGAATGTTCTCCACTGCCTTAACCAGGTATTGAACTCACACTCTTTGGGTCCTGTCACTTGATCTAACCAACGCCTTTAACCACTGTGCAGAAAGATAAATTTATTAGCATTTCAACAGTATTGTCCTGCCAAAAATCTTGCTACGATGTGCCGTTTTTGCTGTATTACAGTTAAATTTACTTTTGTCCCCTGCCTAGAGTTGGATTTTAAAAAAATAATTAAGTATTTAAAACCAAATCCTTACCCTCGTTATTGAGGTATATGCAATTGTTGATCTTTGCTTTTATCATCGTGGTTGGCTAACTGGTAGGGAACACTTTGGAGAAAGGAGTGATTTTCCTGATGAGAAAAGAGGAATGCAGGTTCGATTCCTACCGGGAAGCACTTATTTCTTCTCGATTTCTTGGCTGGTTGAGAATAATTTCAAGGTTTGAAAATGGCAGGAATGTCAACTCAAACACGTTTTCTCACTACAAATAACGTTTATTGTAATAAGAATTTTGCAAGTATGTGTATTCACACAGAAAGAATTTCCCTATCTCTGTATCAGACTCTGTTAAGTATTTTTTTTTAAGTGTGTCTGAAGATACTCGTCAAAGCAAAGTCACGTGTGGTATCGGCTGTCCGACTCGTAAGGCAGCAAACCTATTTGGATACACCATCCAAGTCAACATCTGCTAATCAAATGCTTCGCCTCTGCTGGTTGGTTGGTTAATTGTACGTCGTCTTTACGTTCCGGTAATTCTTGGCATCATATGGCCTGTGCTAAGTAACACATGATTAAGTAGCTTGTTCTTTTTTTTTTTTTTTTTACTATCTCCCTTTTTTTTTCCTTTCTCATTCTTTCACACTCTCATGCCCTCCTTTCGCATATCCCCTCTTATATCCCCTTATCTCTCTCTCTCATATTAGCATTCCTTCTCTTTCTCTCTCATCCTAACCCCTTCTCTTTCCCTCTTATTCTCATTCCTTCTATTTCTCTCACATTCTCATTCCTTCTCTCTCTCACATTCTCATTCCTTCTCTTTCTCTCACATTCTCATTCCTTCTCTCTCTCATATTCTCATTCCTTCTTTCTCTCTCATCCTAACCCCTACTCTTTCCCTCTTATTCTCATTCCTTCTATTTCTCTCACATTCTCATTCCTTCTCTTTCTCTCACATTCTCATTCCTTCTCTTTCTCTCACATTCTCATTCCTTCTCTTCCTTCTCTTTCTCTCACATTCTCATTCCTTCTCTCTCTCTCATATTCTCATTCCTCTCTCTCTCACTCTTTCCTCTTATTCTCATTCCTTCTCTCTCTCATCCTATCTCTTTCATTCATTCCTTCTTTTCTCTCTCATCCTAACCCCAACTCTTTCCCTCTTATTCTCATTCCTTCTTTCTCTCATCCTAACCCCAACCTTTTCTTATTCTTTCCTCTTATTCTCATTCCATTCTTTCTCTCTCATTCTAACCCCTTCTTTCCCTCATATTCTCATTCCTTCTTTCATATTCTCTCACCTTTCTCTCTCTCTCATCCTAACCCCAACTCTTTCCCTCTTATTCTCATTTCCTTCTATTTCTCTCACATTCTCATTCCTTCTCTCCCTCATATTCTCATTCCTTCTCTTTTCTCTCACATTCTCATTCCGTCTCTCTCATATTCTCATTCCTTCTCTCTCTCTCATCCTAATTCCAACTCTTTCCCTCTTATCATTCCATTCTCTTCTATTTCTCTCTTCATTCTCATTCCTTCTCTTTCCTCATATTCTCATTCCTTTCTTCTCATCTCACATTCTCTCTTATTCTCATTCCTTCTTTTCTCTCTCATCCTCATTCCTTCTCTCTCTCATATTCTCATTCCTTCTCTCTCTCATATTCTAACCCTTCTTTCTCTCATATTCTCATTCCTTCTTTCTCTCTCATCCTAACCCCTTCTCTTTCCCTCTTATTCTCATTCCTTCTTTCTCTCTCATCCTAACCCCTTCTCTTTCCCTCTTATTCTCATTCCTTCTTTCTCTCTCATCCTAACCCCTTCTCTTTCCATTCTCATTTCTTCTCTTATTCTCATTCCTTCTTTCTCTCTCATATTCTCATTCCTTTCTTTTCTTCACCCATTCTTATTCTCATTCTCTTATTTCTCTCTCATCCTAACCCCTTCTCTTTCCCTCATATTCTCATTCCTTCTATTTCTCTCACATTCTCATTCCTTCTCTCTCTCATATTCTCATTCCTTCTCTTTTCCTCACATTCTCATTCCTTCTCTCTCTCTCATATTCTCACATTCTAATTCCTTCTCTCTCTCACATTCTCATTCCTTCTTTCTCTTTCCTCTCACATTCTCATTCCATTCTTCTTTCTCTCTCATTCTCATTCCCCTTCTCTTTCTCTCACATTCTCATTCCTTCTTTCTCTCTCATCCTAACCCCAACTCTTTCCCTCTTATTCTCATTCCTTCTATTTCTCTCACATTCTCATTCCTTCTCTCTCTCATATTCTCATTCCTTCTCTTTCTCTCACATTCTCATTCCTTCTCTCTCTCATATTCTCATTCCTTCTCTCTCTCATATTCTCATTCCTTCTCTCTCTCTCCTAACCCCAACTCTTTCCCTTCTTCTCTCTCTCTCTCACATTCTCATTCCTTCTTTCTCTCATCCTAACCCCAACTCATTTTCCTCTCTTATTCTCATTCCTTCTTTCTCTCTCATCCTAACCCCCTTCTCTTTCCCTCTTATTCTCATTCCTTCTTTCTCTCATCCTAACCCCTTCTCTTTCCCTCTTATTCTCATTCCTTCTTTCTCTCTCCTAACCCTAACTTCTCTTTCCCTCTTTTCTCTTCCTTCTTCATTCCTTCTACCCTTTCTCCCTCATATTCTCATTCCTTTCTCTCTCTCCTCAACTTCTTTTCATTCTCATTCCTTCTATTTCTCTCACATTCTCATTTCTCTCTCTCTTTCATATTCTCATTCCATTCTCTTTCTCTCTCACATTCTCATTCCTTTCTCTCTCTCACATTCTCATTCCTTCTCTTTCTCTCACATTCTCATTCCTTCTCTCTCTCTCATATTCTCATTCCTTCTCTCTCTCTCATCCTAACCCCTACTCTTTCCCTCTTATTCTCATTCCTTCTCTCTCTCTCATCCTAACCCCTACTCTTTCCCTCTTATTCTCATTCCTTCTTTCCCTCTCATCCTAATCCCTTCTCTTTCCCTCTTATTCTCATTCCTTCTTTCTCTCTCATCCTAATTCCTTCTCTCATATTCACATTCCCTTCTCTCTCATTCTAATTTCTCCTCTCTTTCATGTTCTCATTCCTTCTCTTTTTCGTATTATGGTTTCCTTCTTTCTCATCTTAATAGCTTCTCCCTCATATTTTCACTTCTCTCCCTTTCTCATCCCTTTTCTCTCTCTCGTTCTAATTCCTTCTCCCTCATTCCTTCTCTCTCTCTGTAATTTCTTCTCTCTCTCTCACATTCCCTCTCTCTCTCTCATATTCTCATTCCTTCTCTCTCTCTCATATTCTCATTCCTTCTTTCTCTCTCATCCTAACCCCTTCTCTTTCCCTCTTATTCTCATTCCTTCTTTCTCTCTCATCCTAACCCCAACTCTTTCCCTCTTATTCTCATTCCCTCTATTTCTCTCACATTCTCATTCCTTCTCTCTCTCATAATTTCATTCCTTCTCTTTCTCTCACATTCTCATTCCTTCTCTCTCACCATATTCTCATTCCTTCTCTCTCTCTCATATTCTCATTCCTTCTCTCTCTCTCATATTCTCATTCCTTCTTTCTCTCTCATCCTAACCCCTTCTCTTTCCCTTTTATTCTCAATCCTTCTTTCTCTCACATTCTCATTCCTTCTCTTTCCCTCATATTCTCATTCCTTCTTTCTCTCTCATCCTAACCCCAACTCTTTCCCTCTTATTCTCATTCCTTCTCTTTCTCTCACATTCTCATTCCTTCTCTCTCTCTCATATTCTCATTCCTTCTCTCTCTCTCATATTCTCATTCCTTCTCTCTCTCTCATCCTAACCCCTACTCTTTCCCTCTTATTCTCATTCCTTCTTTCCCTCTCATCCTAATCCCTTCTCTTTCCCTCTTATTCTCATTCCTTCTTTCTCTCTCATCCTAATTCCTTCTCTCATATTCACATTCCCTTCTCTCTCATTCTAATTTCTCCTCTCTTTCATGTTCTCATTCCTTCTCTTTTTCGTATTCTGGTTTCCTTCTTTCTCATCTTAATAGCTTCTCCCTCATATTTTCACTTCTCTCTCTTTCTCATCCCTTTTCTCTCTCTCGTTCTAATTCCTTCTCCCTCATTCCTTCTCTCTCTCTCTAATTTCTTCTCTCTCTCACATTCCCTCTCTCTCTCATATTTTCATTCCTTCTCTTTCTCTCACATTCCTTCTCTCTCTCATATTCTCATTTCTCTTACATTCTCATTCCATCTCTCTCTCATATTCTCATTCCTTCTCTTTCTCTCCCATTCTCATTCCTTCTCTCTCTCTCATATTCTCATTCCTTCTCTTTCTCTCACATTCTCATTCCTTCTCTCTCTCTCATATTCTCATTCCTTCTCTCTCTCTCTCTCATATTCTCATTCTTTCGTTTATTTTTTCCATTTTTATCAACGCATTTTTGTTTCATATCTATTATCTTTCATTCTATTTCTTCATATCCACACATACAGATTCCTATATTAGACCTCTGTCAGACAGCAAAGGTTTATGAACTAGTTTCACGGACCCAATTGCTAGGAAAGCGAGTTCTATCCTCACTGTTATGGCATTGAGTGAAACTTAGCTGAATCAGTAAATACGTGGGCCGAAAAGAACAAAAATAAACAAGTTTAACGATCGAGTACAGATTCTGTAAACAACATTAACACATTCAACACAAATCTTTTGTATAGCAAATAATAATAATGATAGTAATAATAAGGTCGTAATAGCGTCTGTGAAAATGAATCCTTTGACATGTTATACATTTGTGGTAGTTGCATTCATGTTAAGCCGGTTCCAGAAATAAAACAAGGCACCGTCAACACAGAGCAGCAAAGAGTAGGAATGTCATTGCACTTTTGCAGATGCAAACAATGGCTTAGTTTTTACTAACTTTTTTTTAGCGATAGAAACTTGTGCGTCAAAGATGTTTTACATTTTGATACCAAGATGAATTCGACACAAGGCCAGAGAGAAAAATCGGGTTAAAAAGACCCTGACGTCTGTTCTGGTGGACAAGACATTGTAGTTAGCTTTTACCAGAGCTCGAACTCCGACCTCTGACAAAAGGGAGAACTATGTATCCAATCAAAAAAAGGTCTATGAAACTAGAACTTCAAAATCTATCTCAAAGCGGTAGAAATAAAATATATAGATAAGAGTTACCAATTGTAACCGCATTCAGAAAAATGTTTCAACATTTTCAAAATAAGTGAATTCAACACATCCATGTATCTAAATACAGAATCATGTGTACCATAGCTACCCCCCCCAAAAAAAAATAAACAAAAAACAAAACAAAACCGAGAAAAACATTTAAATTATTAAACTTTTACTGTTAGTTCAAAAGTGACTAACAAAATATTTCTTTAAGTGATTTGCGATGATATTGTGTCACTAGTTTGTTATGGGAGTCATCAGTTTGGACGGACGTTGTCTCGCTTGTTTCACTGGAATGGTGTAACATTGTGAGTGTAGAATAAAAAGAATAATTTAAAGTTAAGGATTTCCAAATTCCTACCGTTTTTTGAGGAAATGAGTTTAAAAGATTAAGTTTAGTTTCAAAATCGTTGCGTTGGAATTTCATTGTGGTGACCAGTGAAAACCTTATAGCACAGCCTTATAAAATTTATAATTTACTGAACCTTTACAAATTCTATATGGACAAAATGCATAACAAAAGTACGCTATTACTAAATCATTGTGCCATCAAATAAGACCTTTTACTTCAAAGGGCAATTATACTAAACAATTTAGCTATATTATGATGTAATATATTATACAGTGCAGTAGTTTTAATGTGATTTTCAATAAACTATGCAAATTTAAAACATTTTGTCTTATAAATTCTACCCTCAATGTTATAGTGTTATAGATCTATATTTTGTTTTTATTAATTATGATCTAATAAGTTTATTCATTGAGTGGCTTTTATGTAATCTTTGACAATTTTTTTTTTTACACATTTTTTACTTATCTAATACAGTAAAAAATTGCATATTTTGCCTGTGGTAATTAATTAGAATTCCAGTTTGAATATATTTTTCATTCAATGTATCGAATACAAACTACACCAATTTTATTTGGATTTATTCTTGAAATAGTAAAATATTGAATCTCTGTCTATATTTCTGAGATGAGGTGTTGTAATTATTTACACTATTTACATTATTCGGACTGTTGTTCTCATCTTCGTTACCATATTCATGACCTTCCGGCAGTTGTATGTTACGGCCTTCTTCAGGATCCGTCTATATTTCTGAGATGAGGTATTGTAATTATTTACACTTTTTACATTGTTCGGATTGTTGTCCTCATCTTTAGTGTCATATTCACGACGTTTCGGTCGTTGTACGCACCGGCCTCCTTCAGGTGATATACGTTGAAATTTCGAAACGAAATCTTTATTTCGTTCACTGAGGTAGATTGTTCTAATTCCACGTACCATGCCTTTTCTGTATATCTCAGTTTCAATTAATTCCCTTTAGTAACTCAACTCTCCAAGTTTTTGTTCACCTCTTCTGTGACCAGGTATTGAACTCGCAACTCTTTGGATCATGTCAATGGATTACCTCAACTGGCACTTTCATCCACTGAGCCATACAATATTCCGTAACACTCTACCTTGAGAGTCTCTTGAGTCTTGTATAGTCAGCACAAAGGTTGGTTTGCCGCGTATTTTGTAGGTGATTCTCCAATGGGTTCACGACGA